ATATTATTATTTGCTAAACAATTTGATTTTATATTAAATTATTATTATACAAATTCATAAGATTTTTTGACGTTTTTACCTGGTTACCCTAAAAAAATCAGACGCGTCTGGTTTTTGGCCATAGCTACAAATAAGGAACAAAATTTTTAATAATTTTTATTAATTACATTAATATTTATAAAATTATTGAAATTTCAACTATTTACTCTGTTAAAAGTTAAACACAAATTTTAACAATTATTTAAAACATATTATATTATAATGGTGTGCTAATAATAATGACATGGATGCCAGTTTAATCCGTAATAAATGGATTACGTTAAATTAATAGAATAGGAAAAAGGTCAATCTGGCTAAAAATACTAAAAAGTCTAAGTGTGGCAAAAATATATCATGAATTTTACGCTCTTTGCCAGATGTATTATGAAAATAATAACATGCTAATATAAAACAATCTTGTTATTTTATATTACAGTATTTAAAATTGTTAACTATAAATATTAAGTATACTGTACATAAATATCTAGTTAAATAATACATTATTTTATATTATTCCAATATTTAAAATAAATCTTAAAATTTTCATCCAGTAATTGTAGGTATAATTATCTAATCATATATAAAATTATAATATAACACTTCTCAAAAATAGTCAATTTTTGATTTTAACAGATATTTTTACCGCGCTTATGAATTGTCAAAACCGAGGGCAAACTGTATAGTCTAACCCATTGTAAAGTGTACGCCAAGTAAATCAATGGTTTTAAAAGTATACAACTCCACCTGTATTAAAAATATTTGACATAATTACATTTTATGTCTAAGTGATTTTAGATTTATGACATTTATAATTTTAGGTGATTTAACACGCACACACACAATATATATTATTTAAAGTAATATTTATAGAGTTACATGTAAAAATATTTAAAACAAATCAAATATTAGTATTGTTTTTATTTAATTATTATTTATTAAACACTGTAATTAATTTAATATATTAAGATGCATTATAAAGCATTATAATAATGAATTTAATTTGGAGTTGTCTTACAATTACATCATAATATTATGAACTAAAATTAACTATAATTACATTATAGATACATAAGACAAAATTATACTTTAAAAATCTTATCCTGATCACGTATTCAAATTAAACTTAAGTAAATATTGTTTTACATATTGAATGATTTATCAAATCTCACAATGTACCAGCAACCATTTTTTAAATAAGTAAATTTTCATATATTAAAATAGACTTAAATTGTTTTAGTCGATTATTTTGCTAGAAAACATTGAGATAGTCTGACAAAAAAATAAAATGTCAAATTATTATCAATAGTTACCAAGACCAGATAAAAAAATGTATTTCTTACTAGAGCGTTTTAATGTTTTAATGAATTTTGTTTTTAATTTATAATAATATATTTAATATGGGTTTGTCACAACAAATGTGTGTTTAGTTATAATGGTATAATGATAATTATAAATTTTAGTTGTATTGACAAAAAATTTAAATTAGCAATTTAAACAATTGATAATATCTTCATTTTCTTAAATCATAACATTTGAAACAAACAATATTTAAATATAATGTGAATAAAATATTTAATATTATTATTAAAATTTAAACTTTTTACCTTAAATACTGGTATACAATATATTAAATAGTTACTTTTGTTTTAACTGGTACAAGAAAACCTAAATTACAAGTGAATGATACAACCTTCATGATATTTGCGATCAGTCAAACTTACCTAGAATTTCCTTAATTATTATTTAATATGTACTTATTATTTAATAATATTATACAAATTGCATAAATTATAGTACTATCATTGTCTGATAATTCCTACAATTTTTACAAGTTTGACCATGTTTACAAGCACTGATCAAGGTTACTCTACGGGCAAACACTTAAATGCATTGCACTAAATACAGTATATATTGTATTTTCCAGTAGTTTTTTTTGTTTTGTTTTGGGAATTTGTTTAATACCTAATAAAAACTTTGAATCTTAAAATTATTTCAGCATTTCTATAATAATATAATATTTCCTACACTAATGTGTTAACAATGCTTGCGATTGATGTACAAAATGTGTGTTTTGGTTACAATAACAGCAAACGGATATTACAGAATTTTAATGTACAAATTAACAAAGGTAAAATAATTTAATGTAATTAGAAATAATGTCACAATGTTTAATTTAATTATGGTAATTAATTAAAACTACACCGTATTCCCAATATAGGCGGATTATTGTGTTTATGACGCCAAGTTAATTAGCCTAATTTTTTTAGTTAATTAACTAGTAAAGTTTTATTTCAACAAATTGGATATCTTGTATAAAACAAACTAAATTCTTACCTAAAATTTCTGTTTTTTCTGTATTTTATTCTTTTAAATTTAAGAAACATACAACTTTCAAAAATTTCTTTTTGTGATAATTTGGACGTATTTACAATATATTTATAAATATAAGTAAAATTCGTGACAACTTCGGCCCAGGCTAGTTATGTATTAAAATGCTTTCATAAATAAATCTGTATATTTTAATTATTTTACAGTTTATTGATAATATATTTTTTTTTGTGTTTTTCAATGCACAGAAATAAGACCTAATTTATAATCAAAGTTTACACATATAAAAAATTTAATTAAAGTTTATTTTAAATAAAATTAATAAATTTATTTATTTAATACAAAAATAGGACAAATATTTGCTCTTCTAGGGGCAAACGGGTGCGGTAAAACTACCTTATTAAAACTAATCCTCAAGCGATTACGGCCAACATCGGGCACAATTAACACCAACATCAATAATTATGACAAATCACCTAGCTCATTAAATTCCATCGGTTATATGCCACAAGAAACTGCTCTTTACGGGGAGTTTACTATAAACGAAACGCTACAATATTACGGTCAACTCTATGGCATGACTGACGGCCAGGCAATACGGCAACGGATACTTGAGTTGAGGGCACTGTTGGGTATACCGGACACGGGTGGGCGCCCAGTGTGTCGGCTCAGTGGTGGCCAACAGCGGTTGGTGTCGATCGCCGTAACGATGATTCACACGCCGGCACTGCTTATGCTGGACGAGCCAACTGTGGGCGTAGACTCACTCATCCGGTGCCGCATTTGGCAGTATCTGTTATACTTGTGCCAAAATAATAAAGGTAATTATTTTACAATACTTGAATACTTTATTGTAAATGTAAAATAATATAGTGAAGGATAAGGGTTACGTGATAGAATTAAAATTCAAATTCCACCAATTTTTTGAATCCATACTAAACCAAAATATCAAATATTTATGTACTTGTGAATGTTAATTTTACATTATTACAGTTCGTAATATTTGGTATTAAAAATTTATTATAAAACAAAAGCACATGTACAAACTTAATCCGTATATACGGTAGTAATTATTTCGATATATCAATGCAAATCAAATATCAAGAATTTCACAATAATTACCAGCAATAAAGATATTTTTGTGGGCTTCCACAAATTTATATAATTACAATCATTTTTGTAATTTGGTACTAATTTCCAATTATTACAGTTTGAAGTGTTAATAATAATTTTAATGTGGAAAAGTATTTACAACTTTGCAAAATTATTCAAGGATTTATCATGATTCATATCTTTAATAATAATAGTTTCTAAACATTGCGTAGAGTTCTATAAATAATATGAATGTAAATTACCTTTACAATTTAGTTATATAATAAATAACAAGTAAACAAATTAAATATTATTATTTCAGATCAAACCATAATAATCACCACACATTACATCGAGGAGGCACAGGGGGCGCATACGGTGGGCTTTGTCTACGAGGGCAAACTGCTCGCCCACTCTAACCCCACTGATCTCCAGCGCCGATACCAATGCAATACATTAGAAGAGGTGTATTATAAACTCGCATATAATGAAAGGCAAATAAAAAACAATGATGATAAATTCATCGTAAACGTGATCACACCGGACAACCAACCCTACATAGACATCACACCTACCGGTGCTGTCAAACAATGTCTATCGTTAATGTCTGTGAACTGCGGTCGTGTGCGGGCCCTGCTATGGAAAACATGGCTAAGAGCACGTGGTAACCTGCCCTACCTATTAATATACTACTTAAACATCATGGTTTGCATAACAATCCTGGCCTTTGTGATGGGTCGTGAGCC